TAAATGTTACATTTAACAGTTAGTATTTTAGGAACTTTCTTTCAAAATCCTTTAACTAAAGTATGAAAACCTTTTTGTATTTATGAAAGAATTAATTTACAAGGATTCAGAGTATTGTTGAAATTGGAATTAGAATTGAAATTCTATTCTAGATTATGGAGTTCTAGAGTTAAATGTCAAGTGGTAAGTGTGACCAGCGAATATTTTGATTGACAACCTTGTTCCACAAACTCAGCCTAGAAATGGATATTGCATATTCCCCCGAGTAGATCACAATTTCAATTTATGCAATTCGTTCAAAAAAATATTATGCAAATATGCAAATGAAAGCAAAAGCTTGAATAAGACCATGAAATTGTAAATAAAATCGATTTTATAATAGTAAAAGAATTTTTTACGGCATATAAAAACGGTTCTTACGCTGCGAATAAGAAATAAATCCATGCTACGAACTGGAAATGGAAAACCCCTCTGAATAAAGAAAACTCTTACCCAGCAATGCCGGGTAATATTTGTTAGAATATTAAATGCCTTATCGCTTTATAAAAGAGAATCGCGAATTGAGTCGTTCAGTTGCCTTTTAAAGCAAATCAATATAAAAACACACGCATAACTAATTATTGTTATGCACACACACACACGCACACACACACACACACACGCACATACATGAGCATATATATGTAATCAAATGGGGAGTGCCTAATTTTAATTTATTATCGTATGTAAACAAATGATAAAGCTAGCGGGTGTAGGAAAAATTTGGAATTGAAGAGTGAGCAATAAAAAGCCGAAGCTAACAAGTTGCAATTTGAGCCGTCCCGACTGCGCAATACTCTGTTTCCAATGTTAGGCTTGTTCCTTGAACTCGGAACAGTTGTAATATAAATTTGCTGCCGGAGATATCGGCAATAGCTTTAAAACTGATCCGATCGGAGACGTCGCCTTCTATGTGCTACAACTTTCACGAGAAGAGTATAATACCCTTCGCAAGGTTATCAATATTTAGTTAAATAAATAAACTAATCAACATTAAATAGATATTTATACTTAATTTAGCATAAAAGCATTCACACTAACCAAACTAATATACCCGCTTTGAAGTCTATGCATAGAAACTAAGAAACAAACTCCGTTCCATGACGTCAGCAGCGAGATCAAAGTGTATAAAAAAAAGTTTCGTTCAATATTTCTTAGCAGGTACATACACGCACACGCATACACTAACGCAATTTGATTCAGACACACACACACGCGCGCGCGCGCGCACAGAGAGAGAGAGCGCATGTGGGATCTGGTTCGACTTGAAACGGAGGCCAAGTTTAAAGTTTAGACTGGAGATTTGTCCGTGAACCGCGCGTCGATTTTATTGCCGTTGATTTGACACGGCTTGAGTGAGAGAGACAGAGAGAGGGAGGGAGGAAGCGAATTATAAAGAGAAAGCGCGCGACAGAGACGAATAGAGTGTGAGTGTGAGCGGGTGTTGGGATTTGTTGTTTTAATGTTCATGAATTGAATTTATTGTTGAGACTTACCTTTGATAGATTTTGACTGGAAGCGGGCAGCTGCGGTGTCGAGTTGCCAATGCTGGAACGTTTGAAGCTGGTGTTGTTGTTGTTGCTGTTGTTGTTGTTGTTGCCGTTATTGCTGCTGCTGCCCGAGCTGCTGGCAATATTATTATTGTTGTTGCTATTGTTGTTGTTATTGTAGAAATTATGATTATGAAAGGGCTGCAATTGAAACAGCTGATGCTGCTGCTGCTGCTGCTGGCCAGTGGCGATGGTTGTGGCAGCGGCTACCGCTGCGGCGACAACGTGCTGAAAATGCTGAGCGTTGGCTGACGTGGAAATCTCGCTGCCAATGGGCTGGACAAGGGTGCTCAGATTTAGGTTGCCGGCGGTGGCGGAACGTTGAGCGGAACTGAGCGATTTGATCGCGGAAGGCGTCTGGATGGTTGCGTCTAGGCCGTTGCCTGCAGAGCTTGCGGTTGTCCACACAGACATCTTGTGCGAGATGCAGCGGTAAATTTCCTTAGCTGGGCATCCATTTTGCACGAATTCCAATGCAAAGCAACAGCAGAACGAACACGAAAAAACAAAAACCAAATATAAGAAACGACACACAAGAGACGGCGACACGTAGGCGCGACAATGAACAAATATAAAAACGTTTAAGTACGATGTGTGCGTGTAAGTACAAATTAAAATTAAAAACAGTTGCACAGTTTAAGTAAAATTACATATTAAATATATTTAAAATTGCTTTGTGTGTGTGTGTGTGTGCGTTTTTCTACATATTAAGCGAAAATGTTGTGCAAATGCGGAACAACAAAAACAGACTGACGCTACGGCTGCTGTTGTTATCGATAACAACAGCGCGCTGTTAGCTCGCATGAGCTGTTAGCTCACACAGCTGAGCTAACAGCGCGCTGTTATGTGCGTTAACATTTGAGAAGGCAACTACAGCTGGCAACGCTGGCAAACAGGCGCGCCATATTTGAATTTCCCCTGTATTTTTTGGCATGAGTGCTTAAACAAACTATGTTTAAGTTGTTGTTTAATTTGCGTGTTTGCCTTTGAAAATGCAATAGAAATTGCGCTAAATAACAGCTTGCCATTGGGCCCATTAATCAAAACGCCCACGCTAATTAAATATATAAGTTTTCAATGCAAATAACTGAAAATCCGCTGGCTGTGACACACATTTTAATTTGCAATTCTTATTGTTGCTCTTTGCTGATCGTTTTTCACACATTTTGCTTTGCTCGCTTCCGGCGTGGGCGTTATTTTATTTTTGTCAAGTAGCCGCTGGCTATAACCAATGTATCTGCATATGCGCATGCATAAGTATCTGTATCTTTAGCCGTAGCCGTAGCTGTAGCTGTATCTGTATCTGTATCTTTATCTATGCAACACCTTCACGCGCCTTGAACTTGCCAGCTTCGTCGGCCTCAAGCCACTTGCCCCAAAAGAAAAATATGCAAATGCCTTTATGCAGATAGACAAATATCTTCCTCTCTTTCTCTCCCTCTCTCTCTCTCTCTCTCTCTCTTTTGGTGCTCTGTGAATTAATTTGGCAAATAGATTCAGCTAGAGATACTTTTGTTGCCAAGCCCAGGTCATGTGCCTTTTTGGGCCAATATCTATGCAGCTTTATTTTATTTGTTATAAAACGCAAATTTGTTCAATAGATTTTGCGCCGCCTTTCAAGGTGTTACAAAAATAATACGCTATGTCTTATCGCCGGGGCCCTATCAGCGGCTCGTTATGCCGATTTGTTTGTTTTGAAATGAAAAAAATGGCGGGAGCAGGAGGAGGCAGAGGCAGAGGCAAAAACTAAGTCAAATAGAGTTCAAATGGGCAGAGCTACACATGGCGCATGCCTAATGCCAATTGCATTCGCTGCGAACGTGATGAGGAGGATCGGGAGCTACAATGAAAACAAAAAAAAAAAACCAGAAACGGGGCCCACGTGTTGGCCCAACAATTAAAGCCAATTAAAATCAATAAATCGTCTCAAGTACAATTTTCTGTTGGCCCTCAAAGCCAGCTGCGCCAGCTGCCAAAACTTCAAGCTGCGATTTTTTTTTTAACTATTTCTTTTTTTTATTATTTTGTTTCTGATTAGTTTTATGCGTAAAAAGTCGCCATGTCACGGGCTAATAATAAACCTTTTTTACTCAGAAAATTCACTTACGATAAAAACACAATGCAGCAACAACAACAACAACAACAAGAACAAGAACAAATTACAACAAGAGCAACAAAAAAACAACTAGATATGCCAACCAACAGTTGGAGGTCTTTGAAAAATTGTATGTAAATGTGTTTGTTTATTTTAATACCCTGTAACTTTTAAAAATAGGTTACACGGGTATAATCACGTTAGGCAATCGCATGTAACGTGCAGTTGAGAAATATTTCAATTTAATGCCCAAAAATGTTAAAACTATTTGATTTGCTTGTGAATTCGCAAAGCTCTTTTTAATTGGAGCCAATGAAAATCGCATAGAAAGGCGATGTTTAACATGTTCATTCTCTTCCCTTCTATCTCTCTATCTCTCTCTCTCTCTCATGCTGCATTGATTACATAAAAATTGCATAGAGTCGTTCGGTCTTTTCCTCTCTCTATCTCTCTCCCCTGTGTCTCCTTTCTCTCTACTTCTTTTTTTTTTGTTTTTTATTTTTCTCCCTCTCTCTCTCTCTCTCTCTCTCTCTCTCTGTTCCCTAAAAATGTCTAGGCAATGCGCAAAAGAGTAGAGGGTACCATCTAGTCAGACATTGCCCCCTTCAGTTTTCTATGTACTTATATCGCAAATAAATTTGTTTGCCGCTTTCATTTAGTTTTTGTTGACGTTTTGTCTGACTTATGACGTCCGTTGCTAAATATATAAAAAAAATAAAAATAACGTAAACCTAATCAATAGAAGAATACGATAAACAACTAAAGCTGCCGATAGAAAAGGCAAATAAATAAAAAATAAATGAATGTAACAAAAGTTTAGAGAAGTCTATTTACTCTTGAACTAGAGACAGTTTCTTGACATGCTTTTGAAATCTATGACAAATATTTAAACAGATATACCAACTATTTGAACAGATATTTTAAAGTAACGCTAACATCCATGTTCACACAAAGTCGTGCTTCCCATTTCTGTTTTGCGTTCAGAAACGTTTAAGAGTGGAGGCAGAAACTATTGCGTGCGTATAAAACGTTTAAGAATGCGCCACAAAGTGGAAGGGAAAGAAGAATACGTAAGGGCAAGCGAAATAACGAAATAACAAAACATTTCCGAATGCGACACAAAGAAGAAGCGTCCTCTTTCGCTGTCAAGACTTACGTAAAACGTAAGAGCGGACGAGAAAATGTTACGTATACGCAAGCACAAAACATTTACGAATGCGACACAAAGAAGAAGCAACGAAATGCGCTGAGAGAAATAATTCGTCACTTCGATTATATTGAATGTAAATGTATCAAAATAAACAAACAAATTATCATTTTGAAATGCAATTTTGTTTTTGTTTTAATGCTTAATCGAGAGCTTAAAATGCTAGAAAATAAAACCACAATCGGTAGGTACAACAATAGACAAAGCTAAGTACGCGGCATAACTAAAGGCTAATGGACAAGATAAACATCACATGACAATAAAAATAAAAAGCCCCTCCAAACGGGTAAATACCCGCTCGCGGGGCTGTCTAACAAATTAACTTAAGTTAGGGCTAACAATTTCAGTTAATCAATAGATATACATATACTAGGTAGATGGGAATGGGAATACTCCGGCTTCAAACTTTGTTCAGCGTATCGTGTGCTCAATATGACCCATGGACTGTTTGCGCTGATTGTTGACCTCGAAGCGTTCCATGATCTTGGCGACAATCGACGAGGGCGGCTGATCGGAGCTGGAGGTCAGGCCGCGATAGCCCAGAGCGCTCGAATCGGCCAGGGAGCTGGCCAATTGCAGACGCTTGACAAAGGCCTCCGTATCGATGCCCGGCACCTTGGAGGGCTTAAGGAAGCGTTTCGGTATGCGCGACAGCATGTCCTCGGTGCCGACGGGCCCGAAGCCCAGATTGATGAGTATCGCTTCCGGATCCGGTTTGCGTGACTCCAGCAAGCTGTCCACGCTCGAATACCGGCTCGAGTCCGACTGCATCGAGACGGAGCTGTCCCGCAGCAACAGGCTGCTGAAGCGATGCTGTCGCACCGCCTGCGGACTCAGCTCCGGCGCCGTGCTGCACGAATCGAAGGACTCCTCGTGCCGCAGGCAGCGTCCATTCTGGGAGCTGCCGCCGCTGCTGCCGCTGCTGCACGAGACGTGCCGCACATGCGGCTCAAAGTGCTTGCCCGGCAGCCGGGGCATGATGAGCGGCTCCTCGGCTGCATCCGGATCGGCGTCCTCCTCCAGATCTGCCGCATAGGCGCACTCGCATTCCGTGTCATCCACAATGACGGACTGCTGGCGCTGCAGCTTGCGGCGCTTGCGCAGCGGCTTGTTGGGCGGAAAGTGCACCATGGAGCTGGCGGCGATGCTCTTCGGCAGATTGTCGCTGCTGCCGGCATGCGGCTTGTGGACGCCAGTTGCAGGTGACGCCTCTGCGGACTGCGGACCCTCAAAGTTGCTGCAGCTGTGCGAACGCTCCATTCTCTACAGGTGTGTGCACAGGTGTGCGTACAGGTGTGTGTTCAAGTGTCTTGTTGTTGTTGTTGTTGTTGACTTCAAGTCACGGCTGCTTGAATTACGTGCGCGCTGCTTAGCTAGGCTATGCTCATATTTGGTAAGGGGTAAAAACCGACACGCTTCCGAGCTGGCGCTCAAGATCGAGATCGAGATCGAGATCGAGATCAGGTTTGTGCTCGATGACGAAACAGTAAGGCCTGGCAAAGGCCTCGTATCTGGCTCCGACCAAGGTCTCTGGCTTTGTCTTTGGCACTGTCTGTTTTCTCTTATGGCCTCTAGAGCTGACTCTGCTTCTGGCAGCTTCTCTCAGCTTTGTCTCTGGCAACTTCTCTGGCTTTGGTTCCTTATCTCACGCAGGCTCTGTCTCTGTTCCTCTGCCTGGCATTCGTTGCCGCCGGCTTTGCCTCTGGCAATTCTTCTGGCAACTTCTTTGGCTTTGTCTCTGGCGCTGGCTCTGCCTCTGGTCCACTCCTCTCTCTCTCTCTGACTAGGGAACCTTCTGGCCACCTTCTCTGGTTGTCTCTGGCGATTGCTTATCCTCAGCTAGCTAGTTCCTGGCTTCTTGGCTTCTACCTCTGGCACTGGCTTCTCGCTTTGGTGATGATTCTGTCTCTGGCTTCTTCTCTGGCTCCTTTTCTGGCTTCTTCTCTGGCTTCTTCTCTGGCTTCTTCTCTGGCTTCTCTCTAGTTATCTCTGACACTCTTTGTCGCTGGTTCCGTCTCTGGCAGCTTCTCTGTCTCCTTCTGTATCAGGCTTTGTCTCCACTCTCTAGCGTTGTCTCTAGCTGCTTCTCAGCTTGTCCCTGGCTGTGCCTCTAGTTCCGTCTGCTCTTCTCTGGCCCTGAGCTGCAGTCCCTCTCTGGCCAAGACGATTTGTGTGCGGCGTATTTTAATTTATTTTATTTATTTGTATTGATATTTGTTTAATTCGATGTCTGTTTTGCTGCATCAACAACGATTACGACAATAATTTCAATTATTTGCCTTCCTTTTTTTTTTTGTATTTTTTATTTATGCGCTGCTTGTTCTGTGCTTGTATTTTTTTGTTGTATTTATTTTGTGAAAAAAAAACACACACACACACACACAAAACGTGTTTCGCGCCGTTCCACCTTTTTAGTCGTTTATTTGTTGGTTTTTTTTTTTTTTTTTTTTTTTTTTTGTTTTGTTGTTTGGCTTTATTTTATATTTTTTTGCTTCTCTCTTTTGTCGCTCAGTTGTATTGAACGTTAATCAGCCGCTGAGCACTTCTGACCCCGGATTCGATCGGACGGGCAGCACTTGACATTGATATGCGAAGACGGAATTCAGGCGGAATTTGTGCAATTGAATACGAGAAAAAAAAAAACAAAACGAAAAACAAGGTAAATGGCAAATTTCGTCAATTGTCTGGCAAGAGTTGAGTTTGCACTGCTTTAGTTAATTCAATTTATATTATGATTGTTATGTATTTATGCATTAAGTACACAAATTAATTATAGAGTTTAGCTCTCTGCCGCTCTGCCGCATGCAAAGCTAAACCGCACGGCGCAAACTGATCTTCAAAACTGAAACTGAAATCACGAAACGGCAGGCGGGCAACCGCAGGGCACGCGAAGCCGCTGCCAAAGCTCGCGGAGAGTTTGTAGAGATTGAGCGAGTGAGTGGAAGAGCGACAGAGAGGCGAGCGCACGCGCTAACTCTACAATGCGCGCGCGTGTGTGTGTGTGTGTGTGTGTGTGCGTGCGAGATGAGAGCGCAAATTGGAAATTGTTTTGCGGGCATTCAACAATTTTTCTTGAGCACGACGCGAATCTATAAAAACTTTTGATTAAAAGCACAACGTTTTGCGGTTAACTTCCCCCCCCCCCCCCCCCTTTTACACACTCAGCCGTCCTCGCATTGTCTTGTGCGCACAGGCGCCGTCGAATGGGGGCTTAAAGCAACTTATTGCGCCTCGACTAGGCGACGCCTTTCGCTCGCCTTTAGGTTTTTTTCAAATATAGATAAAAAAATATTCCATCCATATCTAAATTTGTGTGTCGCATTTTAAAGATAGCTCGTGCTTTTGTCTGCTAAATATTAATTTATGGCATTTAACGAGCGAATCGCCGTTAAAAAAAAAAAGAAAGACATTATCTCTGAACGTGGTCGGAGACTTTTTAAAGGGCCCGCCATTAAACGGCAAGAGCTGTGGGCAAAACCCGCCATTCGAATGCATGACAAACAAACATGTTTCACTGTGGTGTGAGAGTCCAGCGCAAAAGCTAACGGATCGAAGCTTTTGGGCAGCTGATCGCGTGACAAGCTTTAACGGTAAGCGGGCCGAGCTTTGAATGCAATGCCAATATCTCAATGGCTAGGAATTCTACAAAATGAAAATAAACATGTTAAGCAAGTCGACTTCTAAATGCCCTTACGCATGTTCATGTCTTTAGGTGGTTTTTGTAATGGAATAAATATATTTCCATAAATATTTATAAATATAAAGCATAAGTTCAAAAATTTTAACTTTACTTTCTTTGCAAGAGAATGCGACACGTTTGAGCGATAATTGATATCTTCTTGGCCAATGACAACAACAACAACAAGAACAATAAGAACGTAATCAACATCAACGAAAACATTGTTTAAAGGCTTTGTTAACAGTTCATAAAAAGTTGTTGCAAGACTCTCAGCCGCAATATTGATTACTCGAACCCATTTGGAAATGTGTGCCAAGATAAAAGCAAAAGTCAATTTACACAAGTCATCAACAAAATTTGGCTTTTGGTATCTTTCGCTGAAATACTAACAACAAAAAAAAGAAGAAGAAAAAACGGAAGCCATAAATTTGTATATGATCCATTTCAGCATTTGCCAACAGCCCCAACCCAAACAAATCCAACCCCAATCAATCCGACAAGCATTTAATAAATCAGCGGAATCTATTTTTACAAAAGAAACAAGAACGACTAAGAAATACCCTGGCAGGACTTTGACAGAAAGGAGTAGGGCTCAAAATTGCAGATTTGTTAAAAAGAGTATTAAAATATCAAAAATATATTAAAAAAAAACTAAGTTTACGAAGAATTCTTGATTGGATTTATCAGGATATCAAGCTATATATATAGAATACATATACATAGTAGAAGTCAGGTTTGGTTGAAATATGTATATTGATAAGTAAAATAGGTTTTCATACTAGTTCATGCTGATCGAAAATATATATACTTTATGCTGTCAAATATGTGTCCTTGATACTGATCTGGAATATGCATATATAGTTTATGGGATCGAACATGTCTTCTTGACAATGATCGAGAATATATAAATATTAAAGGATCAGATATGTCTTCTATATACTGAACGAGAAAATTATAATGGTGTCAGTTATGTGTTATAGTATCATGATCGATAATATATATACTTTAAGGGATCATTTATGTCTCCTTGATAATGATCGAGAATATATATAGTTTATGGAGTCGGAGATGTCTCCTTCTGACTGTTACATATTTCATGTCAAAACTATAATTACTTTTACAAGAGTATAGCAAAAAAATAAAAAACTATAATAATTAAGTTAAATAATTAGCTGGCAAGAATTCCACTTAAAAAATCGATAGGAGGTCGAAGTGAAGAGGGAACCGCATTCAAAATAAGGCCTGCAACAGCTGGCGGGAAGTGTAATGAGAGAGAGGGAGAGAGAGGGGTAAGGAGAACAGGTGATAAAGGTCATCCAGCCCGTCGGATATTCCAAAATGCAATCGAGACTCGCGCCAGCATGATTTGAACTTTGCTTCCTTCCAAGCATGCATTAATATACTATATACATATCTATATATATTCGACATATGTATGTGTATATATGGAAAATTAGATGCTGAGCAACCTGGGTTGAATGTAATTATAAATGTTGATAAATGATAAACACATTGCATTTGCACATGCATCGTCATTTGAATCTCAGAAATTAACAATTAATGCTCTAACTAATTGCAAACTAAATATAATATAGAAAAAAAAAATACAACAAATTAAATTGTTGCATTTTTATTCACACGGTTATGAAAGATTATTATATATGTACATATATACATATATATTTATATGTGTATGTATGTATGTATATATTGCATCCCAACCGTGCCCCTAGCGCAATAACTGTTATTATCCGCCTCTGATAAAATACAAAAACAAAAAAGGAGAAGAAGAAGAAGAAAAGCAAATATCATCAGAGGGAGTCGAGGAGTTTGTGGTTCGCGTGTTGTCGCACGGAATTGTTCATCAGTAACGGGAATTTCGAACTGGAACCGTTTCTATTCGAACCATGTGCTATTGGCTCGCGCCCTTTCAATTGAATTTAATTGCTTTCGAATTCGAGCTGTAAACATTTGCAGTACAATGTATTTAAGTGGGGCATGCACAGCGTGCAGATATCCTGCATTTACTTTTCAAAGTTTACACTTTGGTATTTTACAACACTGGTATTTTATAACAGACACATATCCACATCTACCTCATTCTTCCCTTCTCTTTTAACGTCTAAACACGTCTGTAACGTCTACTAACATTCTATTTAACTCGATTTGTGGAATTTCAGAATTAATTTATGTGAATTTATCATTCGTCTTTCATCCGCCCCGTATGTCATATGCCACATTTGATATATGTGTGCCTACATAATTAATTTGCTGGCCTCAAGTCTTATAGTTTCCTAGTTCGATTGATTCGACGTTTACACACACATAAGCACAACCTTAAAATGCCCTTTAAGCGTCAGTTAAATTTACAGGGTATAGAAATGAAAGTATCTTATACAAGGAAGTGCAACAGTTTTTAATAAATTATATAATTAGTTTAACTCAGATTCATACCTGTGGCAGATGCTCAATAAAAATGCTTCAGAATACGATAACAACTCAATTAGCTTGCATTTGGTTATGCGTGAAACCGTTATGAAGACGTTAGTTAGGTAAAAATGTTTGTATAACGGTGACTGCAACTGTTGTCGCTTTCTAAGCCAATCGGAATTCCAGAGCATGCAAATGCAGGGCAAAGACACAGACAGAGACAGCAAACGGAGAGCGCAACAGCGACAGCGACAGCGACCACTATAACTGTAAATCACAACCGGCGCGATGCACACGCAGCAGCGAACTGAGTAGTAAAAAATGGTGAATGGCTGGCTTTTCACTTGGCTTCTATTGTTCAAGTTCTTCAAGTTGGTTTATCTGTGGCGCGTAATCAGCTTTTGTCATCCGCGCTGACATTAGAGATCATCTGGGATCTTATCTTTACTGTGTGCACACACACAGCACACATACATATGTACCCTTACACACACGCGGACGCACTCGCATTAACTGTCACAAAATTCAGGCCTTGTATGCTTAGAATTTGTTGTAAGTGTGCAAATTTGTTGACAGACTATTTTTTTCGTTTAATATTTTGTGCAATTTGTAATTAACTGTAACTGTAACTGTAACAGTAAAATGTCTGGACAGCAGGCGACAGCAACAACACCGCCAAAAAGAAAAACTAATACTGAACTGTCAAAAGCCAAGCAGACGACGACGACGCGTTCGTTTCAAAGTAGTTTGCATGCGGCGCAATGTGAAGAGAGCGAGAGAGAGATTCGAACAACAGTTGCAGGCAGGCAGGCAGGCAGGCAGCAGGCTGGCAGCGTTGTTGCCATAGCAACGTGTCTCAGAGTGGATAGCGCACTCGCGAACAATTTGATGCATGCTAGTTAAGCGCCTTATCGAGTGAGCAGCATGTGGGCGAATGCAGCTTTCTCCGGCATATGCTACAGGTCTGGCAACACTCACACCCCTAGCAGCAATAGTTATGCTAGGCGAGAGTGCAAACGATGCATGCATGCATGCTGTTCGCACACTGTTAACATGCTGTTAGGCACACTGTAATAACAGCGACAGCGCTGCCAGCAGAGCCTGGCGCCATTTTTGAACATTGAATTTCCGGTTGAAATCTCTGTGAAATGATTAAACTAAAAATTATTTAAGATAAGTGACAGATAAGGTTTCTAAACATTTGTATAGACTCTTAAATTATCTAATTTGTGCATATATTGTTAAGTACATACATAGAACGTTTACTTTTTGTTCTTTATTTAAATTTTGTGTATTCATTATGATAATATTGTACAATTTGTTCATTTTGTTTTTGTTTTGTTTTGTGTTGTGTTTTGAAAATTTCTCAAGCTCACATACATACACAAATCGCATGAGTTTCACTTGCGCTCAGTTTCAGTTTTACTTTTAACTTTTACTATTTTTCGCGGAATCGTTTCCAACAGGTAACAAAAAATAAATTATTGGCTTTTTAAACATATATATATATATATATATATATATATAGATATATATATATATATCGCGATATATGTATGCAACATATATATATATACATATATATTTTATATAGACAGAGCATAAAACTTATCAACTACAACTAAACATATAGATTTATAACATGTCGGCAAGATATTCGATTCTCAATTCATTTGTAAAAACTCTTCTTCCGTTATTCTCATTTATATATTATCATTATCATTATCATAATTATTATTATCATATTTATTACGTTTAGAGTTTAGACTAAAACTAAAAACAAATTGTGATGTACAACACCGAAGATGACGAAAATTATTAAGAAATGTTGCTTACATTTTAGACAAGAAAGAGCAGGTGTGTGTCTGTGTGTAGGTGTGTGTGTGTGTGTGTGTGTGTGTAGGTGTGTGTAGGTGTGTGTGTGTTCTGTTAAAAATAATAAACAAATTATAATATAATATTGAGCATTGAACGAGACGTGACGGAGTATTCGTGGGCGGAAGAAAAGAAAAGTTTTGAAGCAAAAAGCTTTCAAGTTTCTTGCGTTAACACTTCACGTTAATTATAATTTTTGTTTAAACAATTGTTAATTAAATTAAGTAAGCTGTTAATTATGGCAAACAAAGATTGTAAACGCACAAAATATATGCTGCATTAGATTTCAATTATCGTTTATGTTCATTACGATATATATGATATATGTATGTATGTGTATATATTATCATTAGCATTAGCATTAGCATTATTATTATCAATATTATTATTGTTCTCACTACTCGATTTTGTTGCTGCTTTTGTAGTTTGTTTTGTTTTGAATCAACTTCGTTGCGTTGATTATTTTGTAGATTTTTCTTGTTTTACAACAAATGCACACAATTTATTTTCAATTTTTTTTTTGTTCCGTTTTTGTTTAGTTTAAGTTTTTTTTTTGTTTTTGTTTTTGTTGTTTTTTTCGATTGCCTTAACTTGGACTTAATTAAGATTTTTATCAACATGTTTTATTGCAGAGCGACTTATATATGTAAAATTTAATTACTTTAAAGTGTGTTCTTTTTTCACAATTTTTTTTCTTCTTTTTTTTTTGTAGTTTTTGTTTTTCGTTTTGTTCTAGGCATTGGAAGCAAACATATGGACAAAATCTGTCGTATTTTTAATTGTTTTGTTTTTGTTGTTTTTGTTTTTAGCAGAGATCCTAATTATTTTTAAGCATATAATTCAACTTTCATACAAAAAATATATATTTATATATATATATATCATATAATTATATAGCCACAAGTAACAAAGGGGTTTTAGTTAATTAGGCAGGCAGATAGTTCCAGGGGCATAGAACAAACGATTTGTTTTTTATTTATTTACGAATTGATTTTACAATTAATTTATTTCGATTTCAACAATAAGAAATGTTTAAGACAAGCTTCATATAGAGCACAATTGAAATAGGGTTAATTCTGAAAATAAAATTTCGAAGCGAAATTTTGGAGTTTTGTTTATCTGGAATGGACCTAGGGTCTGGCGTTCTACTGGACAGACATTTTGCACTCTATTCGTGTTGTCTTAACATAAGTAATATATAGATATATATATGTGTGTTTATATATTTATAAATACATAAAGATGATATTTTCACTTAATTACAGCATTTTTTTATAATTTTTTTTTTGTTTGTATTCGTTTTTCTTTTAGATATATTAACATAGCGAGAGTGGAAATTTGTTAAAAGAATTGAATGTAATCTCATTGTTACTAAAATAGCTAACACAAAAACAATTACAACTACAAATATTGTATTGTTCGATTCCGTATATTGTTCAGTTTTACACACACATATATAGATGCATTATAAGTATATTCATATTTATGTATTCATATTGAGCGCTTAGTCTAGCTTATGATTTATTTTGAATAAATGGCTTATTGAAACAACTTTTGTTAGCAAAATTGTGTCCACATTTTGTGTGTGTGTGTGTGTGGGGGGGGGGGGGGGGGGGGGAGGGGGGGGGGGGGGGGTGGTTTTTGAGAGCAAGTACTACTGATTGGGCAGCTCTGTGAGCGTCACATCGTACAGATCGTCCTCGATCTGTTGCACTTCCAGCAAGAAAATGTCCTCGTTGCAATAGAAGGATATCATGTCATCATCAATTTTCGCCGTAATCCTGCAAGAGATGGGACACACATACATATAATGATATATATAAAGAATAGCATATGGCTCGGATCAGTAATTGGTTTTTTTTTCTCTTTCTTTATAAAGCACCCAGGCCAGTTGAGCATTGGTTAGTTTTAGGCTACGGGATGAGTGTTGAGTGAGACTTTAAATTCAATTTAAATTTATTTTTTTATTTTTAATATTAATGATGTATATAGCCAAGGTGCAGGTGCGTGTGTGTGTGTGTGTGTGTTGTGTGTGTTGTGTGTGTTGCGTGTGTGTGTGTGTGTGTGTGTGTGTGTGTGTGCGTGTGTGTGTGTATAGCACTTGACACAGCTGCCTTACTTACCCCTTCTTATTTGTGCGATAAATGTTATTTATGCTCGTTGTTGAGATTTTGTATTTGTTTTCAATCTGCAATTGAGAAACGAGAGAAATATGATGTTTTGTCTGTTGTGTTTTGCACGAGTAACGACTAGCGAGTAGCGAGTAACGACTAGCGAGTAACGAGTAACGAGAGTAACGAGTAACGAGAGATAGAGAGAGAGAGAGAGAGACAGCGAGAGCGTGGATAAACAAGGAAAAACTAATTGGAAAACTAAAATATTTCTCTTTTAACTCTTGTGTGTGTTTGTGATTTTGTTCATTTTAAAAAAAAACTTTGCAGTTTTCTCGTTGGTTTCAATTTGATTTACAGCCAATATACGATATTTGATATTGCCCCAGTGAAATAAATAAGAACTGTTGCCTGTGCCAGTTTTTGTGTTGGGTTTAGTGTAGTTATATTATGGATAGATATACACATACATATACATATATATATGTATATATACATATATATATATATATATATTGAATTCGACTTATTCAATTGAACGTTTCGGCTAGTGATGTGTGTTTTGGTTTGATGAGGTTTTTATAGCTGGTTTTATGTGACTTTGGTTACGACGCTGCAATTAGTTTCAACTACGATAAACGTTCCTTGATTTAATATATATATTTATATATTTAATTTGTATTCGTTTAAGATGATTAACGATTGATATGAAGTTGGGTTTTATTTATATATATATATATATAGATGCTTTAGTTGAGTTTATGCATTAACTTTGGTCAGTTATGTTTTTTTTTTTTGTTTTTGTTTTTAGAGCACCTCATTCTTCAGCTTTGAACATTTTGGGTTTGTTTTAATTTTTTTTAAATATTCTTTTCTTTTTTTTCTGATTTAACCAATTCGACCAAAATGAACAAAATTACAGACGTTAGAGTTTTGGGTATTTATTTTATATATATATAGTTTTTTTTGTTTTTTAGGCTGATTCGTGAATTTTGTTTTGGGTTGTATTACGTTGTGGATAGGGTACACATGCTGGGTCAGCTGACGCTTGCGCTCAGCCCCAAGACTTACCGCATTCAGCAGGCCAATTGTGGTCGGCGGCACCACGTGCAGGGGCGTGTAGACCTCCTCGTTCTCCTGCCGCACGTACAGCATGACGCGCTCCGTGGTCGGCGGCGTCATCCGGCCACGCTTCATGGGCGGCCCAAAGTCGGACATGGGCGTGCTGGTTAACATGCTCTGATCCAGGATATGATCCTTTTTGTCACTGTGCATGCAAAAAATGGAGAAAGGATATTCTTATTAGTCTCATGCTCATGGGCAGCTATAGCTGCGCGTCCTTTTGCTGTGAAAGGTGGACGATTTTTACTCACGTCTGCATGTCGGGCGGAAAATGATTGTGAAACTTGAGCGTGGGCGTGGCCACCTTCTGGCCGTGCAGCAAGAAGGGCGAGGCGCCCTTCAGTTCCGGCGAGTCAGTCTCATGGCCATAGAAGCTCTGTTGGTAAGAGAGAGAGAGAGAGAGAGCGAGAGAGAGAAAGGGAGGGCGGTGAATGAGGTTTATGGGATTATTTTTTGTGGCAGGTTGTACTTACCTTCTCCATGTCCTCGGCAGGCGAGAAGAGCACAGGCGGCTTGGTCAGATCCTGCATGCCATAGAACTCGGAACGATCTGTGACCGGATGATAGAGCTCGTCCAGCTTCTTGCGTCCGGTGGCTGTCATTTTGCGCTTGGCCGCGCGTCGCTCCTCATCGCGCGTCTTGCGCTCCGCGCCCTGTTTAAAGAGAGAGGGTGGAAAGAAGAGAGAGGGAGGCACAGGTGAGTTAAGCTGCTGCGAAAGGTGGGTCGGCGTTTTGGGCGCTTACGCAAGCTGTTGGCCAGGTGTGTGTCTGTCTGCCTGTGTGTGTGTGTGTGTGTGTGTGTGTGTGTGTGTGTAATTAGCAATCAATCAAAATGCATGGGATGCACACATATTTCGTTTATTGCCTTTTTTATTTTTATTATTTTTTGTACCTCTCTTTTATAGAAATTAATTAAATTCGCGCATGTGGCATAAGCCTGCCACAGCCGGTGGCAGGCAACATTCGACTGCAACAAGCTGCCAGTTGCTGCCACAAACAAGTTTTTTTTTCGTGCCACCAACGCGGCCAAACACCGTTAGGGTCACACAGCCCAAAAGCAACAACAGCAACAACAGCAACAAACTCGCAAATAGGCATGATTATTTTTGCATTGCCGTTAAATTATTATAAAATACTTAGCAGATGCTGCATAAATATGCATGCATCATAAATAATGCGGCGGCGCCCCAAACCAAATGGCGCACACGTTGACTCCCAGCTCCAAGCCTGGCCAATTGCCCACCTGACCAGCAGCAGCAACTGCAGCTCGATTTGCTTGATTGCCTGTGAGTGAGCGGCTAGCACACACACACACACACACACTCGCACACACACACACACACACAGAGGCTGTGATTGCTGGTTTGCGTGTAAACAGATTCTTCGCTCTGCACTTTGCATTTGTAATTAAAAATCTGCAATTGAGGCGCGCAGGAAGTGATATACCTCCCCCCCCCGCACACACCTTCCCCCTCTTAACCCCCCCCCCCCCCCCTTCTTGTAGACAATCTTTAGCTGCTCTGGTAGCCATTTTTTATGGTCTTTATATTATTTTTTCTTCTCTCAGCTCAAGTTATGCAAGGATGTCGACTGTGCACACACACACACAAACACTCACACACACATATACACACATATATACATATGTACATGCTGGCTACCTATAAGCCAATCCCCCTCCCTCCACCTCGCTCAACTGTTGCTCTGCTGCTGCGCTGCGCTTATCACAGCTACAAATTTTGCCTAGAGCATTTGTTGCACAACAGCTAAGCATGTGTGTGTTGGTGTGTGTGTTGGTTGGTGTGTGTGTTGGTGTGCCTGCATGTAAATAACTGTATTTTATTACATACTTTTATTTTATCTTGGCAAAAATATCGCCAAAGCTGCGCAGACAGCGACTCGAATCGCCGCCAATGCGGTCAATGTTCGCCGTCGCCGCCAGCTTCTTCTTCTGCTGCTGCTGCTGCTTCTTCTTCGAAATTATCTTCTGCTTCTTCTTGCCAAACGAGTGGCTTGAGTGCAGCGGTACGGGAAGGGGGAGTGGGAGCGGGAGCGGGCGCTTCATATTTGCTTAACTGCGATAGTCACAAGCGATAACGCAATTTCGGTCAGATATCGATTAAAACGTGTCTATCGATAAATTTGAGTTCGTATGAAAAATCGGTAAAATGAATATCAACTTTCTCTGTGCCAAATTGAGTTTATCTACTGCAATTATCGAGAATATTTCCCATAAGAAATCTACAGGAAGTACTGTTAAATTTATTCCACATTTTTGAGGAACAACTCCGATAATGCTATTCTATCGAACTTCGATAAGTTTGATCAACTTCCTTTGTGCCCAAGTACATTTATCTAAATCAAATATCGAAAGTGTTCGCCATAAATAAATCCCTAAAGCATGTATCTAGAAAGTGAACCAATCAGTTGACTTATCAAAGAAGACTTTAAATCAATAATAAATAAATTTGTTTATTTTCTATGCTCGAAGCACAAGTTAAATAAAGGTGTTCCATGAAACTTAACCAGAATTTGTGGTATATAAAAATGATCTGTGACGACTCGAAATTTGTCTAAAATTTTGTTATTCTTTGATATATCAAGTGCCGCCAGTTCCTCTGAACTCAACTCTATTATAGTACTATCATAATACGCCTTTCCAGCTCAACTCGGAGATTATGCGATCTAGAGTTAGCCAATTTGGTATATGGCTCGTCTCGCAACACAGACACATCAACTTTATAACTTTTGTGGTAGACTCGTAATACTAAAACAATAAAATATAATTGTACTTTGTGCACATTAAATGACGAATAAAGCTATGTTTAGCACACAGTACGTAGTTGGCTCTAAATCGAGCAACTCTTTTAAGATGGGTCCAAGAAAAACTTTGCAAAATGGCTAAACAACTTTTCTCATTGACGCTTTCCTTTAGCTAACTCTTTTGCTGGAGAATTTAGTTAAAAGTTAAATAGTTCTGTTAAGTTAAAGACTTGAGTTAAGTTAAGTTGTCAACTTAATATTTCTACTAGAAGGTTTTTTCTGACTTGGTTAAATAATTAAATTAATAATTTTGTCCTTTTAAAAACTATTTATTTTCCGTTTTTAAGAAGGAGGTAAATTTGATTTTCTAGAAACTTTTCAAATCAAAAGCACTTTATTTTAATTAACTTTTGTTTTGGAATTTTAATTTCCCTCGAAAATTTCCTTTGAAATATGTTCAAGGAAATTTGACTTTAAATATATTTAGTTTATATTTATATTTTATTAGAGAAGAGATAAAATTCTCGGAGTTGAAAAATTGTAGTTAATTATGAAATATTTTGAAAATTAATTCAATAAATTGTTTTTGCCTTTGAAACTTTGCAATATTAATTTGTTTTTTAAATGAAAACTTCAATTGTATCTTTTGAGTATTGATAAAATGTTCAATTGAGAAATAAAATGATATTGAAATAATGAAATGTTGTTGAAACATTCAACGGAATTTCCCTTCAACTCTTTGCAATCGCATGCGAATACTTTTTACCATAAAAAGCCGCCTCCGAAGATGGCAATCTTGGGAAATAAATTTGTTTGCGGCAGTTTTGAAACGTTTTTAAATACAGAAACAAAAGAAAAACGCGCAAAACCTATATTTTTCATTGATTGCATTTGCAGCCAGAGCGAGAGAGAGAGAGAGAGAGGGGGAGAGAGGGGGACAGAGTTAAAGGTGCCAAAAGGCGGCAATTGCAACCGAGTTGCAAATGCAGTGAAATCAGAAACCGAAAAGTCAGCAAAAACAAAAAAACCAAAAAAAAAAAAAAGGAAACCCAAAGAGAAATGCGTAACTGAAGAGATGGATATAGTATATATACATATAAAATAAGCTGGTACGCGAAATTTAATTGATACATTTACCGATAAACACACGCCTCGAAGTTCAGGTTAAGCCCACTTCAAGAGTGTGTGTGTGTGTGTGTGTGTGTGTGTGTGTGTGTGTGAGAGTGTGTGTAGGGGCCCTGCAGTTAAAGTATGGCTTGCAGGGCGTAGGGACAATGTGGCTTGCATTGGAGTACAATAAAAGGTAGCTTCTCCGGGCAGGTCCCGGCTTGGACTTGCAGCAGCAGCAGAAGACAAAGAAGAAGAAGCAGCAGCAGCAGCAGCGGACGAAGCAGCAGAAGTGTAATGATATGAGAAAATTAAATTGGAAATCCACGAAATGATTTATTAATAAAGCACATCAAGCGCAAAAAAAAAGTGAAGGGTTCGCATACAAAGCATGAAATCAGCGAAAGAGCGAGAGAGCAAGAGGGAAAGAGCGGTAGAGAGAGAGCGAGAGAAAAAGAGACCAAGGCGAAACATTGGCTCAAAACAAGGGCACGACGCAGGCGAAAGGATGATGCCAGGGAATCAGTGCCACAGCAGAAGGATGAGTTGGGGAAAGGAGTGTGGGAAGGGGGGCAGTCCATTTACTTTTGTACGCGTTACGCTTTCCACCTGAGCCCAGGCACGGACAGACATTGTGGCCTGATGAAGGGACAACCCATATGCCATATGCAACAACAGCCAGCCAGCCAGCCAGCCAGCCAGCCAGCCAACAGTTGCCCCCAATTCGATAAAAGCTGCAAGCGACAAGTGGCAACAACAACAACAATTGGCTGGGACTCTGCCTCGAGTCACGTCGCAGCGCTTTTAGTTAGCTTCATTCAACCTGTTGGTTGCACGTGGCAGCTGTGTGTGCGGCATGTGCGTGTGTGCCTGTGTGTGTGTGTGTGTGTGTGCGTAATTATGTGTATCTGGCCGTTCGTATGTGGTAGCTGGTCTCAGGCGCAGCATTGCGAAATGCGAATCACTTACCTTATCGCAGAAGACCTTTATCTGACAGTAGCCGCGATGGAAGACCGTCGCGTCCCGCGGATCCTCGAACGTATCGATTTGTACGTGCAGCGGCAGGCCCTAAAAATACCATAAAGAAATACCAAATGTTATAATGTTTCAATTCGAAATACTTAAAGCTCAATAATAAAATTCTAGAAATAAATACCAAATATACTAAATGCTAAATTAAGATACCAAAAATAAATACCAAATGTACTAATCAATCATAAATTCTAAATATTAACAGCGCTTTTGGTCACCTCTGATTTTAGATGGCCTTAAAATAGAAATATACCAAATATACTAATGATTCAATTATAAATACTAAAGATGAATTACTAAATTGGAATAAAGCCAGCATCAATTGAAATACCAAAAATAAATACCAATTATACTATTAATAATATTTAAATCATAAATACTGAAAAGGAAATACTTTAAACTAGCTGCGCCTTTAGCCAGGCTTGACTTAAGCAGTCTCTAAGGTACCAGAATTAAATACCAAGTATACTAACGAAAAATACTAGCGATGCGTTTAGTCAGTACAGACTGTAGCTCTCGCGTATACGATTTGTACGTGCAGCGGCAGTTCTTAAAATACCAGAAATAAATACTTAATATACTAATGATTCAATCACACAAAATACTAGTTGCGCCTTTAGCCAGTGCTGACTGTAGCTGTCACGTATTGCTCCCTTTTGGCTTTTAATGGCAAGCAGCAAAAAGAAACTCTTGACCAGGCCGAGTTCGTGTGTTTCTGTCAATGAAATATCAACTTGATGGTACGCATTACAACATACGAAGGATGCAACAACTGCAACAACTGCAACAACAAGAACAACTCTCAACTGACAAGAGGAAGAAGAGCAACAGCAACAACAACTTCCTACGTATATGTTTAGAGTCGAGAACTGTAGCAATCTGTCCCCTCCCTTCATTTTCTTCTTCATTTTCATTTATGATGTTGGCCTTGCAGCGCCTCCTGGCACGGGTATTATGACTATGTGATTAAGTGTGTAACACAGGTAACACACTGGCAAACGGGAGCAGGCTACACGCCTTGGGGCCTGGGCCTCATCAACTTGTAGACTGTAGACCCTGTCGCTCTGTGCCCAGGTGTTTATTAAGCCAGCCATGAACAAAGAAATAATGAAAGAGCTTGAAGCTTACAACAGGCTTCTGCTTTTTGCTGCTTGTGTGTTCCCAGCTAGGGCCGGGCTAAAGACTATAGAACTATGAATTAGTATTATTTATACTATTTTTATAATTATATTTAGCTGTTAATAAGAAACTGCTCAAAGATTAATTCGTCTCTTGTGTTGCCAGCTCCATTAAAAGTTAACAACATTTTCAAACAGTCTGGCAGCGCTAAATTAGCTGAGCACCTCATTAAGTTGGCTGCGATTAATTGATTCATCATTTATTTAACGAATTTGTGGCACATTTCTGAGAAATGCATTAAAATGCAAGTACTTGGTATTTAATCATTCTATTAGGCAGCTCTGCTTCTTACTTTGATAATAAATGCAGACTGCAGAAAATAGAGAAAGGGAAGGAGAAAAAAGCTGACTCATATAAATGCAACTGATGCGACTCCTGCAAAATCCAAAATATTCTTGGATATATGGATAGTCATGCGCCCAATCCCACATCCATCTATATATCTATATATCTATGTATCTATATACATATGTATCTATGTATCTATATACATATGTATCTATGTATCTTTTTACATATATATCTTTATATGGCTGCATATCTTTAAATCTATATAATTATATATGTATCTATATAAATATCTATAGATATTTGTATTTATATATATTAATATATATATGTTTGGCGAAGAAAACTCACCTTAACACCTTTTTGACTGCTAAAGTCCGTGCTGAGGCACTGAACCGCAATGTTGATCTGTGGAAAATAAATGCGATGCAATTAAAAGCGAGGCAATTAATATAAAATGAACAGAAAGAAATGAAAAAATAAATAAATGGAAATAAAAAAGAAATTAAAGCGACAACAAAATGATAATAAAAACAACAACAGCAAAAAATGACAAAAAGTGCAAATTGAGAAGGAAAAAAAAAAGTGCGTCTGGGGGCTGCGACTGCGATTGCGACTGTTATTAGAAGCAATTGTTTTCTCTCTATTAAGTCGATGTCCTCTTTATGCCCACGACAGTTTAAAAAATTCCAACACACACACACACGCACACACGCACACTCGCACACACACGCACAACCAAAAGGCGGGCATACTACAGTTGGTTATGGCCATGGCAATGCCAATGTAGCTGGAGACAATAACAAGGCAATACACAGAGGACCAAACCAAACTGTGGCAACATATCTGCACAGGTGCGGTAGGGGGACGCAGTGGGAAGTGGGGAGACGGGGTTGGGTTGGCTGCGGCAAGTTGACTTGTGCAACGCATCCAATTCATTTTTTTTTTCTGCGCTCTTCAGTTTCGACTTCGATTCAGTTGCTCAGCGACAGACTTCAAGTCGCTGCGTCTGTGTGCGAGTGTGTGCGAGTGTGTGTGTGCGAGTGTGTGTGTGTGTGCTTAAAGGCATTTTAAGCATGTCCAAGCCAGATGCGACGAGCCAAAGACAAACAACAGCAATATATATATATATATACATATATATACAAAAAAAAAAAAAAAGAGTAGAAAATCCATCAACGCAAAAATACCAAAGGAAACAATCTTAATGGTAAAAGTGCAACGCGGTCGACGCAGCGCTGTCGCAGCCGGCGTCGCAGTCGGCGTCGTCGTGGACGCATGTCGATGCTGGACGACGTGGAGCAGTATTTAATGTGAATAATTAGCGGGCGCGTACCATATAAGAGAAGCGACACAGACGGCAGGCAGTTGCAGTTGCAAAGAGAGGGGACGGTGGACAGGAGTTGGCGGGGAGTGAATGGGGGGGGGGGGAGGTGGGGGGTCTTGCACAAGCTGCAGCACCTGCGTGTCGGTGCGTACGAAAGTTTTTTAGCTGCCGCTGGGAAAGGCAAAAGCAAAAGATACGCGCGCGCGCGCACAAACAGCGACAGATACAGATACACACACACACACACACACACACGGAGACAGATACAGATGCGCAGATACATAGCGCAAGAGTGTGCGACGAATGGGGAGGGGGGAGGGGGATGCTGCTGCCTAACGGCATAAAACGAAATCGACATTATGCGGCCTTTTGGCTGCATCGGCGACGGCGACGGCGACTCTCTCTCGGCGCAATGTCTGGACGCGGTTTTTGGGATTAACATCTCAGCGCGTAAACAATTTGTAAATAAAAAGCGCGATATCGAAATGCAGCCAAAATGCACTTATGGCCATAAGCCAGACAGTCAGCCAGCCAGCCTGTTAGCCAATTTAATAACCGCTTGCCAATTTGACGCAAGTCACTGAACTTGACAACTTGTGGAAAATCAGTGCATTTGGCTGCAATGAAATGGCTGGAATTATCAGGCAGAGCGCGCATGCGCCCAACCCTATATAAGTATATATACACATCTTTATAGACAAGGCCTTCAAAGAGACTCCGATTGACAGCTGCTGTTGGAAAACTTTGCTATTTGGATCATTTCGATTATTGAATATCTTAATATATATATATATATGTGTATACACATCTTTATAGACAAGGCCTTGAAGGAGGCTCCCATTGACAGCTGCTGTTGGAAAACTTTGCTAGTTGGACCTTTGAATAGCCTGTGCACTCAATTGTTGAAGAACTTAATATATATGTATATATACATATCTTTATAGACAAGGTCTTAAAAGATTCTCTTCATGACAGCTGCTGTTAGCAAGCTTTTGTATATATGATCCTATATAGCTTATACGCTCAAAGTATGCTTGAAAATCTTTACAATATTATTTATAATCAAAGAAAATATATTACAGACAGAATCATAGACATATAATTATCAGCAGACAGCTGGGAAAATAGTCTTCATATTTGCTAAGAACAAGGACCTCTAACTCGGCTTTTGAAGCCAACTTTATTATCAAACAAAATTAATAAGAGGCAGCTCTAAAGGTAGTCTCGCTATTTTGCTAAAGTTGTAAGATATTACAGGGTACAGATACAGGGTATCTGCTAGTCGTAGATACAGATCGATCTGTTAGGCATTGGCAGTGAGATAATTTGTAGAGCTTGGTGAGGATAACTTGGACAGTATTCTAAATAAGCTTGCTACAGGGTATCTGCTAGTCGTAACTGCTAGACCGACGTTATACGCTTAAGTGAGCTCAATTATAAAGCTCATATTTGGCGGTTTTTTTTTTCATTAAAAAATTCCACTTGCAACCGAAATCAAGCTTCTTACAGGGTATCTGCTAGTCGCAACTGCTAGACCGATCTTACAAGCCTAGGCAGAAAATTAAGCTGCATTATAAAGCTCATATTTGGCGTTTTTTTTTTCAATAAAAAATTCCACTTGCAACCGAAAGCAAGCTTGTTACAGGGTATCTGCTAGTCGCGCACAGGGCACAACGTAACTCGCTGCTTGCCGTTTCATTTGGATTTGTTTATTTTCGGGGTGGAGCCTATGACTCCCAGTTGCTTGAATGCATCTGCATTCCAATTACAATGTTGTTCAACTGTTTGGCGGTGCTTCGGCAGATTGGGGGTTGGGTGCTGCAGCAGTGAAGAGGGGAGAGGGGGGAGGGTGGAGGGAGGAGTGTTGGCGTATACGTAATCGGAGGACGGCGCATGGCGCTTGATTCGCTCAATAGAATTGCAAATATTTGTGGCGATTAAAATTGCTGATAATTGCTAAATTAAACGCGCGGCCAGCTCGGGCTTAAAGCCAAAGCTTTGGCAATAAAAAACGAACAGAAGGAGGGAAAGAGAGAGGGAGAGAGAGAGAGAGAGAGAGGGAGAGAGAGGGATAGAGAGAGGGGGAGAGCTAGCGAGCGCAAACGAGACTGAAATTGGTCGAGGCAGGTGATTAAAAAACTAAGTGTCATAAATAAATAAATGCATAAATTATTCTTTACAAAATAACAACAACAAAGGCGAGAGCGAGACGGCAAGAGTTTTGCGGCCCAAACGTGCGACAGAGATGGCAACAACAAGAGGCGACTGTGCGACGCGCGTTGAATAATTTGCGTTGTACGCTGCAATTGAAAATAAATCACAAATTAATTCTTACACACACACTCACACACACACACACACACACACACACACACACACAGAGAGCGTTTCATTTATTTGCCGTCTCGTTCATAAAATGTATTTTTGTTGTTGTTTTTTTAATTGAGGCGGCGCTCGGCCCCATACAAAATGGAGACCACAACAGTTAGCGCTAAGGAGGCGGGATGGGGATGGGGATGTGCGCACAGAGTTCACAGGTGCTTGGCACTTACCTTGGCAGAGCTCTCGAGCGGATTCCAATAGACGGCGATGGCATTGTGCGACACTTCCTCGATGCAGCCAACAAGACCAACCGAGTTCTTTGTATCTGCAACAACAAAAACAAAATCAAGAAAAATGTATGAGAAACACTTCAAAGAGAGGAGGGTGTTGTTTAGAGGGGAGCGTGGGGGGGGGGGGGAGTCGCATCGTATCGTTTGTATTAACAATTAAGGAAAATTTTCTGTGACAAGTGCCTAATGAGTTATGTTTGATGGGGCAAGCGTGCAACAGGATGCAGCAACACTGAGAGAGAGAGAGAGAGAGACGGGGAGAAGTGGTTAGAGAGAGGGGGAGGACGGGGACATGCAAAGGGGCACAGGCAGCCAGCGAACTAGCCAAGATTATCTACAATCAAACAAAACCCGAACGCATTGCGCGTTTATCAATGTCATAACTCGGGCTGCATGTTGCATGTTCCCTTCTGTACCTCCCCCCTGCCCATCAACCGTTCAATAAAAAGCAACAATTTACGATCTGGATATTCTATACACAACCCGGTAGCGCTTGTCGCTTCAACTCGTACGCACCTGCATCCAAGATTCTTTGCTTCACGGAATGCTGACGACTGTGCCAGAATTGCCAGGCCTTTATCTCGTCCTCGGGACTCTTCTCCTCGCGAAACATTAGCATGATCACACTCTGCAAATGTAAAAAAACCGAAAAAGAATAACAATTAAATCAAAGAATTATTAAATGATGAGAATTATAAAAGAGTTGTTTGATATATTCGCGTATTGTTATTGGTTCCTGTTGTAGGCTGGGACTCATGCCATCCGTTATAGTTATAGGATATTTTCAATAGAAACTAATCGTTCCTATAGCAGCTATATGATATAGCTATCCCATATATAATGCCTGCAAAGTTTCAAGACTGAGAAACAAGTGCGCATAGAAAGAGCCAAATGCTAGATAACTCCGATTAATTGTTTATGTTTAAGTTATAAAATAATTCAAATATATTAACCAACATCTGGGATGTGTGAACGTGTTAAATATATATATTTAACAGACATCCGATTTGTTGTAAACTTATTGGAAAACAATAAAAAAGAGTTCGAGAAAGTTTTCCGCATATATGATACTAATAAGACTCGTGTTATCAAGGCTCTCTGACAATTATGCTCTTTGCATTTCACTCTCAAGCTATTTACAGGGTATATGCCTGTTGTTACTCCTTTTGCGGCTAATTATATGTGAGCTTTTCCTTTCTCTGCTCTAGCTCTCTCCCTCACTTTCTGAAAATTACACCCAGAACATTAAACTCTCTAACTTTGAACAGGGTATCTGTCAGTCGTTCTTTAGGGCCAGCCCGCTTGACATATACGCGTTGTGACACATGTTTTGTTGGCCCATGTCGATCTATTGCTCGCACCCAACAAAGTCAAAAGGATTAGAAACAGAAAACGCAACAATAATGAAAACAAAAAAATGAAAAAAGGACTAACTCGATTTAGCAGAAAAATATCTAACACACATTTGTATCTGAGTATCCCGAGCGTATTCGTATCTGAGACGCGTCCGTTCCCAGAGATATTTGCATTTTGTATGCATCATTTACGTGTTTTTTCACATTTTGAATAATTACGTTGACAGCGCAAAAGGAAGCGCACAGATAGACGTAGGAACCCGAGGAAACCCCTTTGCCAAATTGCAACCCCTTTGCCGCTAACCCCGACTACCCCCCGTTTACCGCCCTGTCTAGAAGATCTTTGCATCTACCGATTACTCGGCATAAATATTTTTGTGTATTTTGTGCGCCTTTTTCTTCAATCTTTAGTTTTCTACCAGCATTTTAATTTTTTTTTTTTTGTTCGGCCTCTGTGTTTTATATATCGTAAATATTCATGGGCTAATCAGCTCGTAAATTATACCAAGTATTTTTTTTTTTTTGATTTTTGGTAAGTTTTTCACCGTTAGGCATTTGGGAAATGGATATGGAAATGGACACGTCTATGCAAATGCGTTGCTTTGATTTTTCTTTGGGTTACTTTTTCCTCGTCGATTCTGTAGTTTCTTGAGTTACACTTAAATGTGCTTTGTCTTTTTTTTATGGAATGTTTGCTGCCAGCCCGAAAAAGGGCGAGAGGGTTAAACAAATAAGCTCGTAAATTCATTTTGACACTTTTTTCTAGCGACTCTTGCGCAAAAATTATTGCACTTTTATGGTAATACGAGACGCTGCGGCACTTCATAAAACACAATTAGCAGGGGTAGCCAGAACTATGGAAAATTCAAAGGTAGGGGTAGTCAAGACAGTCACCAGATGGTCGCTAGAGCTCGAGTTCTTTAAGATCTAACAGAAGTATTTTATATAGATATTCTTTTAAGTCGCCAGATGTTCTCTAAAGCTCTAAATCTGCCAGAACTATTTTATAGTTTTATCTTTTAGATTCAGCAACTTACGATCCTACGAATTTCAAAGCATTGCAGTAAATATTTGCTTTTATATTAAGATATTCATGTTTCCAGGATCTCTAAGAACTCGTTTTCTTTTTCTTTTAACATGTTTTCTCATGAGATATTCATGTTTTATTTGTGAAATGTTTTATCAAGATCATGAATCATATTTGGAATTCTTGGGAAGTTTTTCTTTTAAGCAAACTGTCAACTTATTTCAAGATCTCTCGGAATACTTAAGATCTTTAAAAAGTTTCAAGAACAATTTCAATTATTTCTTTTTGCTCTTCACAAAAATTTCGCACATCTTTCCGTTTTAGCTTAAGATCCTTCAGATATTTAAATTCATGTTCATTTAATTGAATTGAATTCAAAATCTTCAAATTCGGGCAATCATAATTCGTAGGCCTTTTTAATTAATTTAAAGTAAAGATCGTTGTGACTTTTATTTGTTTAAGACTGAAGATTTTTTGGATTTCTATATAAATTTTGGCCAGCTTTAGGATATTTATTTTCTTTGAAATTCCTTTGGACCTTTCAAAATATTCATTAATTTTCTTTCTATTTATGCTGTGAACTGTAGTTCCTAAAATTCAGGAAATACTCGTGACTTTTTTTTTATTTAACCCAAAAATCTTGTGTAATTTTTCAAAATATTCATTAATTTCCTTTCTGTTTATTTAGTATAATTCCTTGAACTCAAGATCCTTGGGCCTTAAAAGAAGTTTTTTACTCTTGTTTTTTTTCAACTTTTTTTCCCATTAATTTGTCGCAGCTTTTTATTTACGTATGCAAATAACATTTGAAAGACAGTTCCAATTTCAGGGCCTAGATTGTCGAGACGCAGAACTCAAAACTCAATTGTTGTTTACTTAGCGAACCGTTGGCACTTCCACATTCACAACTTTTTCTACTCTCCCCCCTCCCACTTCCTTTGAACTACCCAAGTTGGCACTTCCCATTTTGAACTGTAACTTTGATTGTCATTCTTCTAAAACTCAACGGGTTCAGTTTACAATTTGCATTTTCCAGTAGCAGTCGAGTCGAGGAGCAGACGTCATTTAAGCTTATCTGATTGATGATGTTGATGTGTATTGTGCACAACTAGGAAAAAATAACCATGTAGTCCTGAATAAACATGGGCGAGAGAGCGACTGTGTGTGCGAGTTGGTGTGTCTGTGTGATGAAAGGCTCACAATTTGCATTGAGCGGCATATTCAAATTCTCATAAAGGCAGCGCCTTGGCGTATCATTTATCATTTATCATCGGGATATGCATATGAAGACGAGATCAGAGCAGAGCCTTAAGCAGGATATGCGTGTCCTTGTGTGTGCGTGCCTGTGTGTCTGTGTGCAATTGAGCAAAGGGTGGCGAGTGCTGCCAAACTTGATTAGCGCCCGGGCATTCTGACATTCTGAGCTCTGCTCGCGGCAACGCCAGGACTCACAGCTGACAAATCGCAGGATGAAAAGGGTTTGAACTGGGTGTTGACAACAGCAACAACAACAACAAGAACTGGTAGCAGGATCAGGCAGCTCCACAATCAATAGGACTTACCTTAACTGTTGTATTCTTGATTGGCTTATCCGCATCGTGCACATACTCCAGCGTTATGCCATAGAACTGACCCTTATTGATGTAGGTGATGCGATCGTCTTCGCGCCGCTGCGACGAGCTGATCGGGCTCTCCAGATTATAGCGAAAGCCCACATTTGTGAAGCTAAACAAATATATATATAAAAAAAAAAATCAAATACAGGAAAGCAATATAGTAACAGTTAGTTAATTTGGTTAATTCGTTGCCGTTTGACTTACATTTTTGGTATTTGTATTTTGTCAGCATCATTTTGGCGCCCGAAATCGTGCCAGGGTCGCGAACGTGTCGAGCCATTTGTGCTGGTATCCACCAGCGATGTGGTTGGACTATTCTGACTGCCATGCACCACGGTGCGCTGCTGTATGCTGTTCACCGAAACGGGTATGCTGCCATTGGCATCGATCAGGGTGCCCGGCTGACACAGTTCCGTATAGTCGAAGGACTGCAAAAGATTGGGTATAAATTGGCTTGGTTAAAAAATCGAAATGATATTGATTCGTTTAGGTAAATAGAATTAGGCTTAAGTTTAGGTTTTAATGGACACGTCACGCACTTTATGTGGCTACTCGTTACTCGCTACTCGTTACTCGTTGCTCGTCACTCGCTACTCGTTACTCGCTAAAAGTTTAGTGTTTTATTTGTATAAGTAGTTTTAAGTCTAGGTTCTAAACGTTTTAATGGACACGACACGCACTGCGCTACTCGCTACTCGTTACAATTTACTCGCTACTCGTTACATTTTACTCGCTATGAATATGCAGCTAGCTGCTTGGCAGCTTTGCCTGTGTTTGTGTGTGTGTGTATACCTGCTGTATGTGATTCTGATCCCGCGGCGTTATGGCATCCGTGCCAATGCCCGAATCGGGACTGGGCAAGTCCACGGTCAGACCCGCCGCCGTTATAGCCTTGGCATATAGTGGGGTGCCGCCGCTTTTGCCCGACTGTTCCTGCTGCTGTTGCTGTTGCTGCTGCTGCTGCTGCTGTTGCTGCTGCTGCTGCTGCTGTTGACTGTGGTGGTGTGCATTGCTGCTGGTTAGCACTGTGGTGGTGGTGGGCGCATTGCTGCTGAAGCGCGCCTCATAGACGCCACCCACGGGCTGCGGCTGCGTGGCCGCCGTAACGGATACATCCTCGCCGTAGAGACTGCGCGCTGTGCCCGCTGGCACATAGCCACCTTGGCCGTCAGGTGCAAAATATTCACGATAATAGGGCTCCGTTATGAATGTGGTGGCGGGCGGTGGGCCGGGCGGCAGCCTGCTCGCCGTATACATGCCATAGCTGTCCGTTGTGATATATGGCCCGGGACTGGGACTTTGCGCTTGCAGTGTGCTCTGCTGTGTGTTGGCGCCATTGCTGCTCTGCTGGTGTGAGGTCTGTGCAGGAGTTCAGGTCAGTCTCTCTCTTTCTCTCTTTCTCTCTCTCTCTATCTCTTTCATACGCTCTGCTCCGCTCGCTCACTCACCTGTAGATAAATCTGTGTGCCGCCCGTGGTAGCATACATCTCTAGATCTGTCGCTGTCGCTCTGGCGGGACTAGTTGCAGTTGCGGTAGTTGCAGTTGTTGTTGCTGCTGTTTTATTGCCTATTTCGAATGCAGTTGCAGTTGCAGTTGCAGTTGCAGTTGCCTCAGCTTCGGTTCTAGCTGCATCCACGCCCAATATCTGTGAATTTTCGTTTGGATTTGTGTTGGTTTCTGTTTCGTTCAACTGTTGCAACTTTGGAACTTAAGATCTATTTTTAGGCTATTACGAACTCAACTCAGGTTTTGTCTCTTATCTGATTTGTTAGATTCGATTAGATTGGCATAGCTGTGGCTTATAATAGCTTATTATAGAGTGTGCGACTCCTTGGATCTTTGCGTGATCGGATGCCTGTCTAAGCTACATTTGAAGATAGAATTCAGATTGATCGCGAGTCTTTCCCAACTGATCTCTAATAAATGCTTCATGTAACTGATCTCGTTTAAATCTCAACTTAAGTTAATTCGTGTAGCTCAGAGATCTTATAAAGACACTCTGATCTCGCATAGTTCCTTAGGCAGGGCCTTCAGAGGAAGTCTGACTGATCTTCGCGTGATCGGAGGCGAGTTTTAGCTACGTTTGAAGAAGGAGTATAGATTGATCGATTGATTGATTGATTTTCCCACTGATTTCTAGCAAATGGTTCTTTTAAAGATTGTCCGATCTCATTTAGATCTTTGGGCAGAGCCTCTAGAAAAAGCCTGAGTGCTCTCGGCGTGATCAGTGAACGGTTTTAGTTACTTTGGAAGGTGGAATTCAGGCCTTTTCGAACTGATCTCCAATTAATGGCTTTAATAAATTATCTATGTAGATCAGCGACAGTTTTTAGATTGATCTCAGGCCTCTTTGAAGTGATCTCCAATAAAACCGAAACCTTTATTAAATGCTCTTGATAAATGATCTCAGCCAGATCAAAGGCTTTTATGGGTTAAATTAAATGAAGATTTAGACAAACGAAGATCGTGATGAGCCATGTATCCATGCATATTCATATTTCTAGAGTTAACAAATGAGCACAGACGCAATTTTTCAAGAACTTAACTCGAACGAAGTCAAGACTGAGCGCTGAGACTGATCTTTAATAGATCAGAGAGACCTTCAGAAGTAAACTGTCAGGAAGAATGTTTGGATAACAACGAGACCTTCATTGGAGACCATGTTGTGCTGATATTTTTTTATAGATCGAGGCTAAATTGATCAGAGATCAGATCAGAGACCTTTTTGAGGCTGATCTCTAAAAGATCAGAGAGAGCGAGAGAGAGCTCAATTCTCGCAGAGATCTTTTGGAAGTTGAGCTCAACTCTCGCAGAGATCTTTTGGCAACTGATCTTGCATAGATCAGAGATCTTTATACGAAGCCAAGACGTAGAGCGCGCGCAATCCAAATTCTACAAGCCGGCACAAATAATAATAATATAATAATAATGCTTCGAATTGGTTCAGCATATGATTTGTTTGGGGAATTACATTGATTGATCGCACACACGCACAAAATAGACAACAACAACAACAACTGCTGGTGGTCAATGTTTATGTTGGTTGATTGATAACTGATTGTGAACGCGGAAGGTCAAAACGGACCATGGTTGACAAAAGAGCGCGTCTCGTGCGTTGAGTTCTTTTATTTTTTTTTTTTTTTTTTGAGCTTGACTTTTGTATATTGCCTGAGCTGATTCATAAATACAACAGCCACAGGCAGCAATAAGTACAGTTTATAAAATAAAATATAAACAAAAAACAACAACAGCAAGAGCAAGAGATAAATGCTATAAAAATCGAAACAGTCGTCGGTTGTCGTCGAGTGGAAAGAAACCAATTAAAATGCGAGAAAAAAAAAACAACACAGTCCATATAACTTATACACAGATGCTAGATGGTATATAATTATACATATTTATGTATGCGTATATATATATAAATATATATATATATGTGTGTGTGTGTGCATATGTTAATTAGCATTGCTTATTTTTTTTTATTATTTATTTGTATTTTATTGATCGCACCAAAATGTCAAACGTTTTTCGACGCTGTTGACGCGCGCGCTAAATGAGGTAATACGCCAAGATACAGATACAGATACAGATACAGCTAAGAGATACAGATACAAGATACATTGGGTTAGCTGCTGGCCGGCAGGTGCCACGCCCTGTTTAGCTGGCGCGTCCAAGCATCTAAATTAACATTTTTTCTTTCTTTCGGTTGATGAGTGTTTCACGCAGCCGCCAAAAGAAAGTGAAATCAAAAGACGTCAACAGCCACATGGCCAATTGGCCGGGCCCAAAGCGAGCCACGACAAAGAATCGAAAATTTCAACAACAATTTAGTTTAGTATTGTTTTCCACAATTACTTGGCAGCTTCGATTGAGCGCGCAAATCATGAAAATGTTTAATTTGAAAATATTTCAACAATTTTTTGACTTTTGGCTTTTGGGCAGGTGTGCGGCGCGCGTTGGGCTGCTCTGCCACGGATTCTAGCTGCGAGCTAATTAAATTTGTTCATAAAAATCAATTTGCATTTTGAAAAAAACAAAAAACAAAAAAAAAAAACAAAAAACTTCAACGTGCAACGTCAGAAAAGGCCTTGGCTAGTGAAGCTGAGCCAACGATCCGACAGATATTTTGTATTTTTCGATTTTCGGTTTTTTTTTTTCTCATTTTTTTTTTTGGTGCGTGTCTTTAGGAATTGTTCGTTAGCTTGTGCTATTATAAAACAGCGCGCTTTGCATATGCCACACACACACACGCACACACACACACACACAACTGAAATATCTATACCGTAGATGTCCATATTAAACTAAGTTTTAGAATTATGCTAAACGCGTCTCTCTGGCATATATTTATGTATGAGGAAGAAATAAAAAACAACAGCAACAACAACAAAAAATGAGTGAAAAAAAAACACACACACACGCACACACACACAAAGAATTTAAATAAAGCCAATTAACTATTTTAATGCCTTTGGGTTGATAAAAAGTGAAACTTTTTTTTTCTACTACTCGTTCGTTTGTCAAGAATCTATTCAGCTTGGCCGTTTTATGCATATCGTTAATTCTCGGAAATAAACCAAGGCAAAACAATAATACATACAGAAATTATTAACAATATTAAAATTATAATATTATTACTATTATTATTATTATAAGATATGTTTTTGAATAGTTTTGTTTTTTGTCATTTATTTTTGGGATTTTTCTCAAGTAACGTTGCGGGGCTTTTGGTCGGTTTCGTTTGGGCTTCAATTAAGTTAGTTAGCTACCAAGTTTAAGCTAAGCAACTAAATATAAAGGTTGAAGTTCAGTTGAGTAAGGCTTTGACGTCTCAGAAAGTTGCTTGCTTTTTTCTATCTGATTTATCGATAACATTTTCAAAAAAAAATCAATTTAATTTATGACTGTCCCTATTATCTATCTATAGAGGAGATATTTCCTAAAGGATGTCTCCAAATTATAAACTTCTTTGTGGTTAATTTAAAACGAAATACAATTAAAAGCCTATCGATAACACGTTTGTCTTGTCTATCGATTAATGAAAATGCAATATGTGTGCGATGTAGCTCTTGTATTTAAAGTTAAACTCAATAAATATAGGCTATAATTAATCAGTAGCCTCTTTCGACTACTTTAACCAGCAAAAAACCTGTTATCGATAATTTATCGATAGCGCCTTTAGCCGTACTTTTGGTATTCTAATAACTTTATTGGCTTGACTTCCTACTACGTTAAATATATATCGATTTCTGTCAAGTTCAAGCTTTTGCCTTTGCTTAGTTTTTGAAACATTGAGCCAAAGCTGTTATCGATAAAACTGCTGGCTTTTATTGAAAGTCTTTTTTGTGGGCTTTGAGTTAATTTTAGTTAAATCTGGTTACTGTTAAGACGAACACTTAATTACAGCTACTTTGTTGCAGTATTTATCTCTAAGTTAAACATTTATCGATAGCTCTCGTTAAACAAGGCTTGGGCGTTCTGAGCAATTTTTACAATTAGTTTAACAGCAGGCGGTTTATTGACACCATTTGTATTTTGTTGTTGAGTTTTTTGTTATTGGCTAACGATTACACTTTCCGGTCTAGAGTTGCAATAAATTGCAATATCAATTTTTCATCCATCATATATATACCCATTTTTTTTTTTTCATTATGTCATTTGTTCAGTGTGTGTTGTTGTTGTTGTTTTTGTTTGGGTTTTTTAATTTAAATTCTGTGGCATAAATTAGTCAAGCGATTTGTTATACGATTTGTATATAAACCTTTCGACTTTATAACTCTAGGCGACGCGTGTTATGCAAATCGAAGTCTAAGACAAATATTGCGAATAATTAACAGGCAATGCGAATAATAAAATATAAATTAGAGTGCAATGCAAATTGCACAGACAAATGTATATACATATATGTATATATAGATACATATGGGCAATAACAACCAGAACAACAATGACAACAAGAAATTCAAACAAAACAAGCCAATTAAATAGTGCTGCACAAATTTTGCTCAATGAATTTTGCTGCTGCTACACACACACACACACGCACACACGCACACACACACGCACACTAAAAGCCCACTCTCATCTGCAAAAAGCGTCAAAAAGCAACAACAAACTGTTAAGTGCCGTTGTTGTTGCTGCTGCTGCTGCTGCTGTTGCTGCTGTGTTCTCGCGCGCCAAACAAAAGACTTAGAGCACAAACTTGTTCGCCGCGCGTGGGTGTTGAAAGGCAACGCGTTGCGGCTCAGCTGCTGCTGCTGCTGCTGCACGCCCACACGCAGCTTGTTGCTGTTGTTGTTGTTGTTGTTGCTGTTGTTGTTGTTGTTTGTTTGTCTTTTGCGCGCGTTTGCTCAATTTGTGTTGCATTTGTTATTTGTTGTTTCTTTTGTTTCGTTTTGGGCGCACGTTTGCATTTTGATTGCAGGTGTTTTTTTTGTAAATTTAATTTATATATGTATATATTTGTTGCATTAGCTAACTGGGCAACTGGGCGCCCACATTCCAATCAAGCGGCACTATATCACATATCATATATCATATACGTATATATATATCATAACACAATATGCAAAATAGCAGCATATCGAATTCGGGCGCACACACACACACACACACACACTTACATATGTTACAGTATTATTTGCGCAGGGAGAGGGGTAAGGGGGCGTGTCGATTTTGGTTTAATGACACTGATCACTGAATCTGAACAATATATAATACACTTTAACACGTTGTTGTTGTTTTTGTTGTTTTTGTTTGCTGCGCTCGCATTACAAGATTTTACGCGCAGGAGAAGCATACGCGTCCGCTCAAAAATCAGACGAATCGCAGAAACGATCCTACTCCGACAGCGTGATACGACTGACTGACCGATTCCACGTATGACAACGTCGGCGGCGGCTGCGACGGCGGCGCTACCTGAACGAACACGCACACATGCGCACACACACAAGCGCGCGCAGACAGACGTCAGCGGCGTTGCGTCGGCCAGTTGGACCAGCGTACACACACACACACACACACACACACACATACACACACAGGCGCACGCATATCAGTTCAAAATGGTTGGAATCTCTGCGGCTGTCGCATATTCTGACATGCGCTGCGGCCGGACAGGGCGTTACAAGCAGCGCTGCGCGGCATTAAAAAATAGTTTTCATTGATTCGCGAGCGGATCGAACGAAGGAAGAACGCAACAGTGGGCCGGAAGTGCGCACTTAACTTTTGTCGCCTTTGGCTTATGTTGTTATCTTTGTTCTTGTTGTTGTTGTTGTTGTCAGTCGCGCAATTTCCCAGCACTTGTTGTTGTGCAAGAAAAAGCGCTTTAATTACGACTTGGGTTTTTCGTTTTTTCTTTTCTTAAATTTATTAGCTGCCGTTGTTTTTGTTTTTGCATGCAATTGATAAAAGCACATCAGGCAGGCATCGAACATGCAACATGCAACTCGAACCGACCAGCAGCATGGCAGGCAACTGAGTCTAAGCGCAAGCGAGCTGCTCTTATGCGCAGCATGCGTGCGTGCGAGCGAGCGCAATATACAAATCACACAGGCACGCACACACACACACACGCACACACGTGTGAGCAGCGACGTAGCGTTGATCGTGTATAACAAGTTGGGTGTATAACAGTTGCTCGAATGCAAACTGAGCGACGGCTGCTGTTGTTGTTGTTGTTGTTGTTGCTAGCTGCCTGCCTGCCTGCCTCCAGTTGCTGTTGTTGTTGTTGTTGTCTCATTGCTTTTGCGTCAATAGAACGACGACGAGCGACGAACGACAGCAACAACAACAACGGCAACGACGTTGATTCGTATTGGCTGCAGCCACAAATACTCATTGCTCGCACACACACACACAGCCGACAGACCAATTGCAGGTCTTAGAGAAGCAGCGGCGACACATAAAAACCGCAACAAAAACAACAACAACAACAACATAAGCAAAAAACTCGCATATTAATTGAGACAAACAAAGTAGAGCGTGCGCAGGATGCGCTGCGACGCCTGCGCTGGCGCAGCTGCCCATACGAAACTAATTTCTAATTGGATTTTGCTGTTTTTCGTTTTAATACCCTGTTTTCTTTTTTTTTTGGGTTTTTTTTTTTTGGTTTTGCGTGCGTGTCCATTAAAGCGTTAAATACGTAAGACTTGCTATTTTTGTAGTTTTTAATTTTGACATTAACTTTTCCTACCTTCTGCGTTATGACCGAACCATTTGCCGAGGCGCCCAGGCTGCCGTTCTTGGGATCCTTGCTCAAATCTTCGGGCTCACGCTTGATGCTCAGCAGCTGCTGCTGCTGCTGCTGCTGCTGCTGCACTGCAGCGGAGACAATTGAGCCCGCGCTCCCCACGCCCGCGGTGGTTATGGTTACAATGTCGCTGGGATGTGGCGGCTGCTGCTGCTGTTGATGCTGCTGCTGTTGCTGCTGCTGCTGCTGCTGCTGCTGCTGATGTTGCTGCTGTTGATTTGAGATTGTTGTTGTGGAGACCACGCCGGTTGTGGCGGACGAAGATGAGGGGTGTGAACCAAGCAGAAAGCCTTGAATTTCATTTTGCGATAGGCCAGAGACATCGATAGGTGTGGTCTGGCCATTCAGTTTGCCGGCGCTGCTCGCATTGCTGCAAAAAGACAACAAGAGGAAGGAAATGCCAGAGCGACAGAGATAGCAAAAGTTAGAGAGCAACAGAGATAGAGAGACAAAGAGAGTGAGAGTGAGAGAGAGAGAGCGCGTTGCATGAGTACAAAGTTTATAAATTGTTTGCCTAATTTAAGTGCTTAATTACTTAACTAACTTAATTACTTAATTGCTTAACAATTAACATACACCCACGAGATTGTCGCCAGCGCCTAACGGTACACAGAACGAGTCCAATTCAAAACCAAATCCCAATCAGAAACTGACAATCAAGAGCGCAAAATATGCAGCAATTGCAAATTTTCAATAGCTAATCCGTTGGCTGCGCCTAATTTGCCAGCAACAGCAACAACTACACCTGTAGCTGCAGCTCAAGCTGTGGCTGGACCTGTTACCAACTGGCCAATCGACTCAAACACACACACACACACACACACACACACACACACACGCACGACACACACAGCCAAATAGGAGCAGCGACAACAACTGCGAAAAAGCAAACCAGATTCCAGCTGCAGCTCGAGCGAGTGCGAGTCCAGCGGCTCGATGAATACAAAAAAAAATACAGCTTTTGGCCAGCTACGACAACAACAACAACAGCAACAACAGCAACAACAACAAATATCTGCACAATAAAAACAAATTGCATTCAATGAAAATAATCACAAGCCGTTTTCTCTCTCTCGCTCTCTCTCTCTTGCGGGGTAAAAGGCCGCAAAATGTTTCAAATCAATGACAAATGCTTTATTTATTTATTGCTTTGTTTTTGTTATTGTGCTGGGTTTTTCCCGTACTCCACACACACCCCCCCCTCTCCTCTACACTCACACGCAGCTTTTGTCAAGGTCACAGCCCAAAATTGGGCAAGAAAATTTATGCTCAAAATCAGCGCAAAGAACTTGTTGTGATTCTTCACGAAATTATGACGTCAATTGTTTAAGCAAAAATTTCAACATTTAAGCTAATAAAATTGCAATTTTTTTTTAATGAGCAACTTTTATGAAGTGTACTCAAACGTGTATTAAGTTCAAGCTTAACTTAAAACAAGAAACTAACTAAATGATTTTACAACAGATTCTGCTCTCAATAAAATCTCTCTGCAGCAAATAATTCGCATTGATGAGCTTTGACAAAATAATAAAAAAAAAAGGGTGATTCATAATTTCAGCAGCTCGATGGCTTAATAAAAACTTGTTTCAAGCCAAAACTGGCTTGGTTTTAACAATAAATTGGACTTAGTCGCAGTCGTTATTTGTTTTTCATTTGTAAAGTGAAATTTTCGATCTTGAATGAATTTTATTCCGCTTTAGGTCTCAGCTTTGTTTTGATATTTGTTTTGAATTTGTTTAATTTATTATTTAATAAATAACTTATTTACGACCTTTTATTTGTTTATTAAAACAATATTTTGCAACGAGTGGAAGGTACTTAAAGTACCTTATCTAAGTTACATGGCAAGAAATTTATATCGGAAATTTTTTACTTGAATCAAGTAAGCCTGTTTTGAAGATTTCTCACACTTAGATCAAGTTAGCCCAGTTATTTGATGCTAGCTTAAAAAAGAGAGATTTAAGTTCAAGATAGGCCTAGTTACTCAATTTAAGCTTCCTTGTATCAAGTAAGCTAAGTTGTTTGATTTCGGCTTAAGATTTCTCAAACTTGAAACAAGTAGGTCTAGCCACTTAATTCAAGTTGAAGATCTCTGAAGCTTAAATCAAGTAAGCTACGCTAATTGATTTCAGATTTTGTAAGCTTTACTTGGTTTAAGTTCAAAATACGCTTTGCTACTGGCTTCAAGTTCAAGATAAGCAGAGTAACTTGCTTTAAGCCTCAAATTTCTTGAATTTGAAATTTTCGATCTTTTTAAGCGTAAATCGACTTTGACAAAGTGTTCAAGTCAGTAATCGTTTATTATTATTTCAACAGGGTATCTATAGATTTATACAAGCATTTTCTCTCAATACCTAACTGCATATTCATAAGCTCGGATCGAGTGAAGCTTTAAGATTAAATGCATATTTATATAAATCTCCATTGATATTTATCTGTATAGCCATATCTATAGAAGGGCGGATCGCGTGACAGCCAGAAGGCAGCTAAATCTAGCTTGATATATAGCGGGTCAGCCTAGAGGCAGCTAGATCTAGCTAACTATTGAGCCTGTCAGCCAGAAGCTAGCTAGATCTAGCTAGATATCAATATGAAGCCCAGACATAAGCACAGATCGTATCAAAATTTATTTTAAATGAGCTTAATGAAAAGATTTGTAATATCTTTTGTTGCTTACAGAATTTCCATGAACTCTTTAGGCCTCAAATTGCCCGTGTTACATGCCAATGGCTCCAACTTAACGCTAAACTTTTCACAATCCTTTTATTTATTTTTTATTTTTCGAGAAACAAACAATAATAAAAAAAACAAATGACCAAAAAATAAACGACAACAAGAGAAAAATGAGAACAAATGTCGCAATTTCTACGTCGAGCAGCTGCCGTTTTGTGCAAAGCTCAACGATTGCGAGATACATTTGTATCTAGATACTTTGGCTGGTCGACACGGTAAAAAAAAAAAAAAAAACAAAAACAAAGAAAAAAAGGCGCCCGTCGTGCCCGATTTCACCCGAATTCCGCGGACAAATGTCACTTAACGTGAGGTTAAGGCCGCGCTTGGACATGGCCACAATTTGTTTTTTTTTTTATACCCTGAACCCATTAAAAATTGGTATAAGGGTATATTGTATTTGTGCAAAATCCAAATGCATGTAACAGGCAGAAGAAAGCATTTCCGATCCCATAAATCATATATATTCTTGATCAGCATCAATAGCCGAGTCGATCTAGCCATGAAATTTTAGATGTAGGTGCTCCTAGTTCCCGCACAGATCGAGTTTGTTTTCGATAATCGATAACTTACTCAGCTTCCAAGCAATCGATAAAAATATCGATATCGATATTCTGTTTTTTTTTGGAAATTTTGGTAAATAATAGGAGCTAGACTTGACAGATAGCTTCTAAAATAGAATATATATATGCATTTGATGTTGGAAGAAGAGGGTTCAGGGTATGCCCTAGTCGGAAGCTCCCGACTAGAACCTCTTAGTTGTTGTCTTCTTGGTTTTCGTTTTTTTTTTTTTTTTATGTTCTGCGGAACATTTTTCGCTATTAAAAGAACATTTTTTCGTAATGCGATATGTTTATTTTGTGTGTGTGCCAGCTTTTCGCCCGTTGTGTTTGGTTTTTTTTTTTATTTTTCTTTTTTTAGGGTCAGTTCGTGTACATCACGTAGAAAAACATTTATTAGATGCGAGCCGAAGGGAAAACGCTTTAAAGAACTGTCTTTTAATTGTGTTTCTAAGCCAACTGCCGCAACTGCCGCAACGACCTTTTCCATGCCCCCTTAGCGGTGCTCACCGTTTCGCCTGCCCGTTACAATTTCAACAGGCTTAGCCTGAACTTTATATAAAACAAGAACAAGAGCACGGCTAGCCCTGCAGCATGACGCATTTCAAATACCCTTTTATGATGAAAAGTTTTCCGTTTGCCGTAGCAAATATCATTTCCATACAAAAAGTTCTTTTACGAACGATTCGTACTTTTAAGTTGTTCCATTTCATTTGATCTAGATGTCTTTAAAAGTACACTGCAACTAAATCTTCGAGCGATTACTCGAATAGATTCCATATAACTTAGTAGACAAGTCGAAAGAGTTTTTCGTATAAGAAATTAAAATATCATTATCGGGAATTCTATACAATAAACCGGATCTATGCAAAGTCTTATGATCCTTCAAACTGAACGAATAGATTTGCATAAACTTGATCAAGAATGTATATACTTTTTGCTCCGATTGAGTCAAGTATATATATTCTGGATCTTGAGAGATTAGTCTCTTATGTGTATGAGAAACGCAATCTGAGCGAAAGTGAGGGAATAATGTGACTAGGGAGCACAGTAGGAGACAAGGAGGACTGGCAAAAAGTGGCTGCACATGAAAACAATTTGACAGCAAAGAAAATCCGTTGCCTTTTCAGCAAAATGCAAATCAAGAATGTTAAGGGAAGTGTGGACAATGTGACCATGGAGGACAAGCGAATACCAAAGGAAAGTATTCCAAGGCGAATGTGAAGCACTTTGAAGAGCTCAAGAAAGCAAGCTTAGTTTGTATGAAATCATAATGGAATATTAAGAAATCAAGGGGATAACAAGTAGACAATAATATGTGGCCGTGTTTTGGATGCGAAACTGGGAATTCCGAATTCGAATGCGATTGATGAAGAAATGTGAAAAATATGTAAATAGGGGAAAGCATCTAAATTGCCTTACAAGAGCTTACAAACAAATATATCTAAAAAAAAAAAAAAAATAATTAAATAATAATACAAATTAAATAAAATAAAATACAACAAAAATACAAAGCACTGCCCGAGAGACCTCGAGATCTAGCATCAAGCTTACAAGATTTATATTCAGAAAAATGTCCTGTTTCAGGCTAAGACTTCGATTCATGCTCGAGTAAATAAAGCAAAACCATTTTGATTGACTATGAAAAGGACTGTTGAATATAGAGAAAGGCCCAGAGCTTCATGCTCTCACCTAAGGCTTCAATTCTTGTACTTCGATTATCTGAACAACTGGCCCAGTTAGCCAGCTCGAGCTTATAAAGGGAAGCAATATAATCTTTTCATAAAACAGAGCTACAAATAAATGTAGAATTAAGAGCAAGGGCTTATACAAAGATCTTCCTTTCATGATCTAACTAAGACCTTCGATACTTGTGCCTCAATAAAAGCCGAATAACTGGCTTTTTTGGACAGCTCCTGCTAGCAATAACTCACAAGCAGCTGATAAACGTGTTAACCCGGCTTTAAGCAGCGTTTTAGCCTGGCCACGTTCAAAGCGTTTGGCACAGTCAAGGGACCCGCGGCGTTAGGGCATATCGGGCATAAAGAACGCCGCACGCTCAAAGCGAACAGAAGAGCAG